ACCTACTGCAGTGTTGCTGGTGGGCTCCCAGACTGGGACGATGGCAACAACCCGTCAGGGCCCCACAGTATGCATTCTGTTGCTGACAGCCATTGTTCCAGTGCTTCTTCCTGGCGATGCAGTTGCTGCACCCACTGGGCCTGGTCCTGAACCTCCAGGTTGGCCTGCCGCAGCACAGCCAGAAACATCCAGGCCACCTGACCAGCTGCCTCCCAGTGAGTGGTCAGGACATTTGACTCAAGTATCTCCAAGGCTTTCCGGACGTCCTCTGGACACAGCTTCACTCTATCCCAATCCTCCGGAGGCGCCTACGTAGCAAGATACATGGCCACGGGATACCACTGGGAAGCGAGGGGCCACATGTCCTCCACTTAGGTATCCTCCACCTGGGGACCATCCAGCGCACTGGGGGCGGGGTGGGGGAGGGGGTCATACCTCATCCTGCCAGCTACGCTAAGTGTCAGTGCCGAGCTGATTGAGAAGGGAAGGTTTTGGTGGTGAGACACCCGGTTGAAAAAAACACAGGAGGAGCTGACAGGAGAACGAAACTATAAGACAAGCCTTTACTTGTGGGGCGTGCTTCCACGTTGGGGGACCACATAGGCTTATATGTGTCAGAGAACAATAGTGGCATTCTGCCACATATGCGTAGTACAGCAAGCTGAATCATTCTTACATAAACTGGGTGCAGGTGCACTACAGCGTTTAATATAACATGCCGGATCTGGGGTCATATCCTTGGCTGCGAGCGTGGATCACAGCCAGACCTGGAACTAGCCTGGGCCCACAAAAATGAAACTGGGAGGCTACTGTAAAGCCAAATTTTCTTCACTTACTTCAATCAAAACATATCAAAGGAGATTGAATGAAAAGCAGTTATGAGAATATAGCTGCCACTATAACAAGATTTAAAAAACAAGATTTTGAAATATCAATAGATTGAGACATCTGTAACATAAGATTTACAAAAATATCAAACCATGCTACACTGCTCACTTATAGTTTTTGTTTGAAAAAAGTTATTTTTTATAGAAATGTTATTTATATTAACTGGATTTATTATTGTTAATTCTAAATGAATTAAGAGATTCATACTTTTAAAATAATTCGTTTTAACTTCTAATATGGTACAAATTAATAGATATAATCCATATAAACAAAAGGTTTTGGGAAGCCACAATTTTTTTACATTGTAAAAGAGTCCTGAGACCAAAAGTTTGAGACTTCTTGTATATACTTTCTCTTCTCCTGGTACCAAGTTGACTGCTGTACCTGATGGCATCTATATTCCAGGGTGAATGAGGAAAGGAGGAATGCTGGAGAAAGGAGCAATGGCCGTATCATGAAAGCAGATGTTTTTCCAGAAAACCTCGAAGTTAATTTTTTTTACAGAGAACTTTCTTACATTTTTACCTTTAACTGCAAAATGATGTGAAAAAGTGCGAACTTTGAGTTGAGTCCATTGGTACTCAGAACAAAGTTGGGGTTCTCTTGGTAAGGTTGGGTATGAGGTAGATAGTTAGCAATGTCTGTCACACATAGGTTTTTTGTTTGTTGGTTTTTAATGACTGGTCCTGGTCAGAGTTTCAGGAAAACTCCTCCATGAAGTTCTTTTGTTGACCTCTTTACATAGAATCCCCCAAACTTGCTTAGACATCTCACCTCATTGTGATATTGTTAATTCTTGGCTTCTCCTTTCCAGGAGTTGTTTGGCCTCTGCGGGCTCTGTGTCTCAGTTGTACCCCCAAGATACATTTTGTTGGAGCCACACATAGACTTGCAAAACATTGGCAGGACTGATTAAATTGTGAAATGTCCCTTGCCCTTCAGTAGATTTCTTTTTATCTTTGTGATTTGGTAACATCTTATATTAACAAAACTTTTCTCACACCCTTAGACTTAGTCTTTCCCACTCTATCAGTTTCCCGATTGTGAGCTCACTGCCATCTTTTACACAGAAATTTGCTTTTACAATAGTCATGATTTGCTTTTTAAAAAATAAATCATGTTCATTTATACCTTAGTTTTAAAAGTGAATCATAGCCTTTATGGATTATTCTGACATAGGGTTTGGAATGAAACTTGCATCCGAAAGTGTGGTCTGGGAACCAACAACATGGGAGTCACCTGGGAGCTTATGGGAAATGCAGAATCAATCCACCTCAGACCTAACAAATCACAATCTGCATTTTAACAAGATCCCTAATCGATTCAAGTGTACAGAATTTCAGAAGCACTGTTCTAAGGGAGAAAATAAATGAGAAGAGGTCATGGAGCTGTGTTCTGAGGAACTCTCATGTTCAATATAGTAAAAAAAAAGCCCACCAAAGTGACATGGAGATGAGAGCAAGCCAGGGAAGTGTGTAGTCTCACAGTGTGGCATATCCTGGTGCCTTCTCCAAAGAAGGAGGGTAACAGTTTTTGTGCCCAACAGTAAGGTTTTCATCTCTTCCAGGGATACAAAATAGTGGAATGCATTAAGCAGTGACTGAGCATATTAACAATTGTATGAAAAAAATTTGCCTAGTTTTTTATCACTTGGTTATTGAAGCTTAGTTTGGCTTGAACTGGAATGGAATTCTTTTTCTCTTTGGTATGCCTAATTCTAGTTCTTGACATCGATGTTTGGTAAACTTTCCTTCTCATTCACAAATATGCCTGACTATAGGAAAGACTAGTGTCACCTACTCTTCCCTGATATAATTTATATATGTGCTTTTTTAAATGCAATTCTTCATCTTTTCCCTAGTTGTACATTCCTCATCAAACCACTATTTCAAAGCAATTCTGTGTGGTAACTTATTGGAATAGGCGTAAGAGCCAGATTTATTTTTGTTAATGTTCTGTGGCTAATACAGTTGTTTGCATATTGTAGTTGCATAGTAAATAAGTATAAAATGAATAATTGACTCAAATGAATCCTGAGATTTGCTTCCTGAAAAATAGGTCTGTTATGGTTCCGAACTTCTTATATGTTCAGTAAGTCCAAATAAACATAGCAATATTTAAGGGGGAAAAAAAAGTCTATTGGAACTGAATTGTTAATTTCCTATCAAGTGGTGGAGAAGCAGTCCTAAATATCAATAGGTTTCAGGCTTTAAAACATTTGTATCTTCTGGGGCTATTATTTGTTTGATTTTACTAATGTAAAATATTGTATTGTTCTAACAAGGAAAATAGAATAAAGGCTTACATCATTAAATTTATTTTTCAAGTTCATAATGTAAAGAGCAACTTTTAGTTTTCAGTCTGGATTTTTAATGTTATCTAGCTTAATTACTAGGTTTCCGCACACCCCAATATTCCCTCTCTATGGAATAATGAATGTCATAAAGCTCTAGGACATGAATTATTGCTTCTCTTAGTACCTCAGAACTTCTCTGTAGGTTTCCAGATGGTGTTAAACTTGCCATTTCTTGTAACTCTGGTTATAATTGGTTTTCTATACATATAATTCGAGGTGTGTATATCTTTGTTTTAATTTAGTAGACTAAATCAAAATTTAGCAGTGAATTTTCAGTAGATGAGCTATTAAGCTGAGATTCACAGCAGTGCCCTATGTTTGTTCATCATACATTGTTGACTCATGAATGAAATGGAAATGGTTATATTTACCTGTTTTATAGACAGAGGGACTCTCCATTCCCAGGGAGTGAATGTGTGAATAAGATGTTTGAATGAAATTCTTAATTAAGTCTGGTCTTTTAGAAACAGTCTTTGGTAACATATTGCCAACACTCTGAGTATACTTTATAATTTTATTCTTTTCTTCTATGACTATTGAATTGACTAGCTTAAGACCAAGAAACATTCTATTGAGGCTAAACACTTAATTGCTTTGTCTATATTGTATTACTCTTAGGAGACCCGAACTTCCGTTTCCATTCAGATTTATAAAATAAGGAGAGAATATAATAAAAATATTCCAAAACAAAAAAACATACAAATACATTGCTATAAAGACAAAGAAGATAACATTGCTGAAACAAGTGCCAGCTGTCAGGCCACTGGGAAGATCTTGAAACTTTTCTTCATCATCATTTTGGCTTGTAGATGACTTTGTTCTTCCTTTGTCTTCACATTGTATTCTCTCTGTGTGTATCTGTGTCATAATTTCCTCTTCTTAAAAAGACACCATTCATATTGGATCAGGGTCCACCCTAATAACCTGACCTTATTTTAACATAATTACCTCTTTAAAGACCCTGTCTCCAAATATAGTTCCATTTTGAGTATTGGGGGTTAGGACTTCAATATACGAATTTGGGGAAGGGGGGATACAATTCAGTCCGTATCAATTATGTCTCAGGAAGGTCACCTTAAAAGCAGAAAGACAAGGTAGGAAGTTATTCAAGAGTTCCAAGTGAGAAATGAAGAGAACCAAAACTAAGAGTTTGACAATAGAAATGATGATGAGATTTGAGATCGAGAGACTTTAAGGAGGGAGAATTTGTTATAAGACTTTGTGACTGTGGAAGAGTGTTAAAGGGAGGAGGTTGGCACGAATCTCAGATTTCTCTAATTCAGGAGGAGAAAGTTAAGAGAATAGATGGGAGCTGTGAGATGTCCTTGTTGTATACCCAACACTTGGACAGCTAAATGACCTGTGTGGGTCAGCTGTCCTGCTTTTTTTCTTCCCCTTCCTTCAGGGGCTCCTCATAGTATGGACGACACAACATACAACTGAACATGCAGTTTCTTGCCTCTGAACCTGTCATGAGACAGGTTCTTAATGTGTCATAAGATAGTTATCTCCCTCTTATATTTACAGTTAATTCCAAATTCCTGTTCTTTTCTTGTTAAGTTTCTATTCTTTTATTCATCTTTGCCAAATTCTCCAGTATCTAATAGCTGACCCAGTACATAGTAGTATGTGTTCAGTAAATTCTAGTTGAGGGAATGCTTCGTCAGGATTGTTATGATCAGTTACCTGTTCTTTGCATGTTTTAATCACTCATTTGGTTTTCTTGGTACTTAACACTTGTTTGGTTTTCTTGCAGAATGAGAAGACTTTGGGACATTCCATGAGTCATCCAAGTAGCATTTCTAAGGTAGAGTGCCACTGAAATATGTTATTTTCATAGCTTGGGGTTTTTGTATTCTTATACCTTGCATGCGTTTATACTCTTTTCTTTTAAAGACAAAGTTCTTGATATAGTTCTTTAATCTGCTCTGGAACCGTACATTGAAGTTTGTAGCAATTATATTTTTTTAGTGTGGCAATTCTGAGTGTGTTGGGAGCAGAGACCAATAGGAGAAAACCCTATTTCTTCCAGTAGAAATCATTTACTTTCAGGGTAAAAGAAATCTCAGAGAGTCACCAGAGGATCTGTTACCTCAATTAGGAGTGCATTTGACTGATAGTAACAAAAATCCAACTCTGTGGTTTCACTGACAAGATGTCTGGAGGTAGATGGTCCAAGGCTGATGCAGTTGCTTATAGATGTCGCCAGGGACCCAGGCATTTTCTCTTCTCTCCGTGCCGCCTTTTTAGCACACTGTCATCTTCATGCGTAGCACTTCATGCTCTGAAGATCAGGAGCTGGGCCTCCAGGTACCATGGCTGTGGTCCTGGCGGGAATAAGAATGATGAATGGTAGAGAAGTCTGTCAGCTGAGAGTGACCTTTTAACTCTAGAAAGCAAAAGCTTTCCCAGAAGCTAAGCTGCCTGACTTCTGTTTACATCTCACTGGCCAGAACTGGATCACATAGCTACCTTGAGCTGGAAAGTGGCTGGGAAAGGGAGAGCTGAGTGAGTGAATTGGCCATCTAATAGCACCTGATGCACTTGTGGCGTAGTCACTTAAGTAGCCTCCCAGGAACACATCAGCTGCTAGGGGTGACCCAGGAGCCAGTAGAAAGTATCTCACATTCAGTGAGCTTGCTCCCATGAACTTCTCATCTCTCAGCCCGGACATGGGCTCTGACCAACCTCTTGTCCATGAAGGTATGTTTATAGAGGTTTCTTGCAGAACCTTCTCTCCATGTCTATGTCACTTGGCCAAACACTGACACATCTTGGCAGGAAGGTCTGAATAACATGACAAAAATTGTCCTGCTGTCTCAAGCCTCCTAAGTACTCTGAAATAAAGTCACTTATATGCCTTTTTAATTTACAAACTACACAGACGTTTTCATTCATATCACCCTATTTTTTTTGAACCAAAAGTAGAATCTAGCAGATCCTTTAAGACCTTAATCTGTTCTTAGGCATCTAATGTTGTTATCTAATCATATCATTCATCCACTTAATTTGGCATAAAACTGAAAGTCTGTAGTGCTCAGTGTGACACTGAAGGCCATTTACAGAGTGCTCCTTTGTTTATTCTTGGCCTCCCCCGAGACCAGTCACTCAAACTACGGAGTTAGGCCACCTCATATAAATACCTTTCACTGAATTCTCTCTCCCGTTCTAATCTCCATCTCTTTTCTTTCGCTGTTGCTTAAGCCAGGAATGCTGGAGCTGTAAAACTTTGCAGTGGTAGATCATTACTTTCTCAGTAAAAAGGCAAGTTCTACCCTGCCACCTTTTGAAGGAGCTGTCCAGTGTTTAAGCATTGAGAAGAGTGAGAAAGTGTAGACCCAGATGGCCTGTCTGATTAAGTTTAATTAAACACTTTAAAAGCGTACAGTAGCACTTGCTGCTTTGCCCCAGCGGCAAAGATCTAGAGGAGAGCCTCGTCCTGTGCCTCAAATATGTGTCTGTTAGTTTGTTTATGATTTTAGTAAGATTTATTTGAAGCAGTTTCCTCCTGTAGTTAAAAGTTTGTGAACCACTGGCTTACAGTGTCTTGAACATTTCGTGCACTTGGCGAAGGCCTGGGGTATAGCTATTTTGAGTTGCTGTGTGAGGGTTTTGGGGTTAGATGGAAAAGGATTTACTAAACATGTGGCTTTGAGGAACGACCCTTCTCTGAGCTTTAATTTCCTGATGTGTAAATTGGGAAGTAATACAACCTTCAGGGTTGTTGTGAGTCTTAATAATAATGTTTGCCAGGAGCCATGGGACAGGGACAGCTCCCTTATTGCAGTGAGTCAGTAAGCTGACTCTTTCTGAACTTTGTTGAACCCAGGTGCTCTTAGGTTGATTGGGTCAGGATAGTCCTTGATGGTAGCTCTTATTATTTTCTTACTGATCAAAGGCAGAACTATATATTTAAAATAACTTTCACCAGGGTGAAAAGTAAGATATCTAATAAAAACTCTGCCTTTTTTTTTTCTTGCATACATTTTTATTGTGCGTCGCTTGTGCCAGACACCGAGCTCTAGGTACTGGCGTAAAATGATGAGCAAAACAAACATGGCCACTGGCATAGAGCTCCCTGTAGGTAGGGTTGAGATTTTTCTTAAAAAGCATTTTAGCCCCACACTAACACTTTCCTGAACAGGGGAACTGGAAAAGCCTCAAAACTTTCTGCCACAGAGCAGGGCCAAGAAGATCTGGGCCCCTTCCATTTC